AAGAGGACGTCCATCAGGTCAGGTCGGAATGATACGCCACGTCTCTGTGCGGTGTAGGTTGCTACCTCTAGTGCAATGGCTTCTAGGCGCCAATCCACAGGATCTGAATCAGCGTGAGATTCAAGAATTTGGACAGAGTAAGAGTATAGGTCCTCGAAAATCGGCTCCAGGTCATCTGATGAGCCGCCCAGGGCAGAAAGGTCCAGGAATGCATCTGAGCCTGCATTCAAGGCATCGGAAGCCTTGACTAACTCATAACAGAGCCACAGAGATGCGACCTGGTCTGTTGAGTCTGACTCTCGGGCATGGTCCATCATGCTAGCGGCGATATTGGAGTGTACCGAAGTTGAGGCAATGCGACTTATCAAGTTTGTGACTTCTTGTCTCAGCGTCCGTTGACTTTCGTTTGCCATAAGTACTGGCTCGAATGGCTGTTCGTTGGCTGATTCTCGCTGGTTTTGCGATCCGTCTAGTAATTGCAAATGGATTGCTGGTTGTGCTTGCTTTGAAGATTGGATGAGAGAAACAATACTGTCTCGCAATGCGCCGCCAATTGTGTCCTCTAGAGTCGAAGACTCGATTCCTAAACTTTCAAATAATTCGATTCCTTTGGATAAATTATGCACCGCGGTTTTCTTGACCTCTTCGTCTCCGGCTTGCATTATGCGGGCCAGGCTTGACATCCAGCTATATACGGCTGTCTTTATAGCATCACCAAGCTCAGGGTAGATGATGACTAGATGTCGTAAACTAGTCTGCGTGGATAAAGAAGGTGTTGGAGCACTCTCTCCTTGATCCAGCAGAATAGCTGTCTCGACCAGTAGTGTGGTGCAATTAGACAGAGAGTTGTGGCATTCGTCCAGGAGTGAAACGCAGAGTCTCTCGAGAGCATCTAGAACATTTTGCGAAGAATGTGTGCGAAGCTTCATCATATTTGACAATGCCACTTTGACCTGATCTGCTGTCGCCCTAAGCCATGCAGCAGTCAACAGTTTGTCCGTGTCAGAGGACGCCGACTGTTTCTCATCCTCCTTACCGCCTTTCGCTAGGATCGACCGTGTTCGCATATCTCCTAACACCCTGGTGAGGACTGTCTGTACAACGTTCAGACTCTCCGCTAATACCGTGGATTTATGCCTATTTGGAGATGACAGCAACTTGGTTAAAGAAGAAACGGTTCCTGGGAGAAAGCTTGCTAGGGCTCCTTGATCCCGCAAGGAGGTATAAAGTGCTTTCAGTACGCGTAACGCTTCGAGTTGGATTTGCGGTGTAATACCGTCTACAGCGCCATCGAGCATAACAGTAACTCCATGGCCCAACGCCGGCATACTATCTCCTTCTGTCAGCCCAGTCATGGCGTTGGCAGATTGACCTGCCGTGGTAAGCAGAGCCAACTGCGTTCTGAAAGCTTCCAGCTGCAGTTCTTCTGGAACATCTCGGTCTCTTTTCTTCAATCCAGGAACGCCATCGACTATGAAAACAAGGAAGCTGAATATTTGTTGGACCAGTTTGGACGAAATCCTAGTCTTCCAACCATGTGTGATGAGCAACTGAAGACATTTGACACAGTTCTCGATAAGGCGAGCAGGATAATGTTCCAATTGACGAAAGATGTGGTATAGTGGGAAGAAGACATATTCGGCCAACTTCTCATCCAGGGCGGATGGGTTCTTTTGAATCTGGGTATTCAACATATCCAGGACTTGAGCAGTTAGATCTAGGAGCTCACGAGCGGCGTCGGCTGAGTCGGACTCCTGGATAGCCAGTTGGCTAATCTTGACGCAAAATGGTTTAAGCTGCGATCCGTCAGCTCACACGCACAGGGTTCATTCCATTTGATGATCGAGGTAGTCAGTGCAGCCCATACCTTTTGGAATACGTCATGCCGTTCCTTGTTTGCGGTTTGCTCTGCCATGTTGTCCACGAGGACCCTAAACGGAATTTCCTCAAAATACCTCGTCACTGTACCATGTCCACGAGCTTTAATTTTGCAGATTACTTCAAAAACAATTCAGGAAACAAGAACATGTATTGTCTTTGGCGAGGCTGTTCGGCCAAAACTCGGGTGCGTACATGCATGTTGCAGTATTGATCCACCACCACACAACACATTGACGCCTCTTTGCTGGCTGCCAGCCGATTCCAGGTTGGCTCGCCATACTGTCTGTCAGCACCACCACACACTGTCTCCGCCAGTGGAGGCATCAAGTCGCGAGGCAAACCTCCCCACTGCGCTCTATTTTGCACTTCGCTTTGCTGAGGGCATGTGCATTGAGCCGCATCTCGCACTGTATGGTTGGCCCACGTAAACAGACCAGGCAGTGCAGTTTTGAAATGCGGGCAATGTCGTGGTTGTATTAGTAGTTAATCTCTCAGTGCTTCATTTTTTTTAGAAGACATAACCGGACTCAACAGATTTGTTTCATCTTTGCCATCATGGTTTCGCACAGCTCATTCTCCGTGATTGTACATCCTCACCCATCGCCTAATCGAGGCGCCTGCGCGTATGAGCTCGGATATCCGAACTCCAAAAACGCGCTGGTTTTCATCGGCGGCCTTGGAGACGGGCCTCACACGGTACCTTATATTAGGACCGTGGCCAAGCATTTGGAAACTACAGGTAAAGATCTTGAGTTTTCTGTTTTCGAGCTTCGATTAAGGAGCTCATTCATTGGATTTGGGACCTCGAGTTTAAGCAACGACGTGGATGACATCGCCGCTTTGGTGAAGTATTTGAGGGGTTTGGGCCGAGAGAAAATCGTCCTGTTTGGCCATTCAACAGGCTGTCAAGTAAGTCTGAATTGCTTCGAACCTATGTATGAACATTGCTGATTATGCTTAGGATTGTATGGAGTACAGCAACTACGTCAAGCACGGCAACCCACCAGTCGATGGCTTCATCATGCAGGGTCCAGTCTCGGATCGTGAGGCGATGGAGGGCATTTTCCCCAGTGTTAAAGAAAGCATCGAGTTAGCAGACACATGGATCGCCGCTGGCCGGGCTGGTGACTGTCTGCCCGGCGATAAAGTCCCCACGGTTCTGGCTGCACCAATCTCCGCTTATCGCTTGAAGTCGCTTGTAGCAAAAGGGTAGGTCACTGATGCCTGCCTCCCGTCTTGACGTACTGAAGAACAGGTGTTGACTTTCACTTCCTCCCTCTATCTTGATTTTAGCGGAGATGATGACTACTTTTCGTCTGACTTGGACGATGCGACTGTGGCCAAGTTTTGGAGCCGGTTCAATAAACCGGTGCTGGTATTGCACTCGGGCCAAGACGAATTTGTTCCAGACCATGTGAACCAGGAGGCTCAGAATCAGAGATACCAAAAAGCAAGTCCCTTTGTTAGCTCATTGTCAGGACTCATACCGGATGCTGGGCATACTGTCAAGGAAGAGGCTGCGAGAGAGTGGCTAGGCGAAAGAGTGGTCGACTTTTTGCGGACGCTGGAGAACTGAGCGCGTGAACCAGCCTGAACAGCAACAGACGCAGCCTGCGAATTCCGTACGAATCACAATGGTCATGCCAGACGTGGTGGACGTGGTGAAACACATCAGAATAGACTTGAAGAATACTAGTAGACAGAAAGATAATTATGCTGTGGATGGCGTAAGGCCTTGTGGTGGCTTATTAATAATTACGCCAAATGTGCTCCATATGTACAGACGAGGCGGAAAGTCGGTGAAGATGGTGGTGGCTGACGAGTTTCAGTGTGATAATAAACGATGCGGCTTGGAAACAGGTCCGTTAGATGCACAACGGGAGTAAGGCCTACAGGTCCGATAAGCCCGGGTGGTAATTCATGCATACGACAAGACCATGTGAATGGAGGGATGATTTGCTTGCGCGGGTTTATTACATGGCAAATTCGTAGACAGAAGGATTGGCGACTGTTCTTGGCGCCCAATTGCAGCATTGGTCCCGCCAGCAGTTTTGTCGTAATTCTTGTCGGCATCAACGACCATTGTCCCTTTCCCATTAAGTCTGTTTCCTGGGGCCAAAACTACATTTGCGAGAGGCGAAATGTGTTCGGCCAGAATCTGGTAGTGCCTTGCTATCCCGCCCGATACTGCAAGGCATCGCAGTACTCCGTACACTAGTGTATAATTCTGGATGGGCAAATAGATTCTGCAATAGACGGTGCCTACAGAGGTACCTAGCAGGTAAGTTATGTAGGGCGAAAGTTGTTCAAGCAGGGAAGTGCCTGGGATGCGCACCCACACTCATCACCATCCGCACTACTGTTAGTAATCCGCAGCGCCTGGCTCGTTGCAGGACCCTTCAAAAGCAGTCGTCATGCACGCTGCCTTGGAGCTGGCCGGACCGTCGCTGCTTCGGCACCATGGTGGTGTTGGAAAGTTTCGTTTTCTACGGTGATCATTTTTGTTTGGACAATTAGATGCATGGTTCCATGTCGGTCCCCCGGTTGTCCAGGCCCCTCCAAGTCCCAAGAGTGGGGTAATGTTGCCTTGCCCTGCCCTGTCATACCAAGCCCCCCAGCAAACTTAGCGCCGTCGCTGACAAACGCTTGGCTGCAAATTCTACCAAGTACATGGTTACCACGATTCGACGACTCTACACTTCCGTATCGTTCGGGTCTCGGATTTAATAATGTGGCATGTTATGTATCTTTTTTATCTTATTTTTTTTTTTTTTTCGTGCTTCTTCCTCTTCCTCTTTGACTGACAACCTTTTCACCTGCAGGGACCCTCCTCGTCCATCGCTGCTCTCTACCCTTCCGACAACAACCACCTCCACCGCTCTCTGATCCATCATCCCTGTTGCTCGGATTGTACTCGGCAAAGACGTCACTGGCTCGCTGGACCCATAGTTTTGATCGAGGCTCGCCGGCGCCGACCACGGGAACGCGCCAACCTCGACCTTCAATCGCAACCTTTACACCTTTGTTCCGCGCCGACGACCCGATTCGGTTCCTTCGTCTGAGCATGTGGTGATTTGCTTCCACCTCACCCTCCTCGCTCTCTCGCCTCACCTAGGACCATGGATCCTCTGGACCTTATGGACCCTTACAGCGAGCAGCAGGTCCGCCTGCTTTCCGGCTCCTTCACCGGCCTGCGCCCGCTGCAGCGCCTCGGCGGTAATTACTTTTCCGTCTCGGCCTTCCAGCAACCGCTCTGCGGCAACGAAGAGGGCTGGGGCCCAATTAGCAAGTACAGATACGACTTTACGCCGTGCTTCATCGATGTCTGGTTGGCAACCGTGTCCGTATATGCCCTCGTCTTGGGACCAGTGGCCCTGTGGTGGCTGCTGACGAAAAAAAAGCCCATGGAAGAGGGCTCCTCCAAGAATGCTCACTTTTACATCAAACAGGTGGGTTCACAGCGTCACCGATGCTCTTTGTGCTAAACAGCTTCCGTTTGCCCATGTCTGATAGCTGACCTGTGTCTCACAGTCTCTTCTCGTCTTTCTCATCGCCGACGTCGTCGTTCAACTCGTCATTCAAATCCTTGGCATGCCCGGCATTTGGTATGGGGACTTTCGCGTGCTGACAACTCTTCTTACCATTCTTTCCTTGTTTGTCATCTTTTCGATTCAATGGATTGAGCACTCCCGCCTGCGGCACGCCAATGGAGTCGTCCTCTTCTACTGGCTCCTCCTCCTCATCTCGCTCACCGTCAAGCTTCGATCTTTGATTTCACAACAAGTATATGAAGCGAACCTGCCTTACTTTATTGCATACTGCATTGGATTCGGATTTGCGGTTGTTGAATTCCTGGTCGAGTGGCTCTGGCCTCGTCAGCATGTTCCAAGTGGCTACGAAGCCATCTTCGAGGATGAGGAATGCCCCGTGGAATACGCCACTGTCTTTTCTCGTCTAACTTTCTCCTGGATGACGCCCATGATGCAATATGGCTACAAGGTCTTTTTGACTGAAAATGATCTGTGGGGCCTGGCCAAACCAGACCAGACCAAGACCACTGGTGCAGCCTTCGAGAAGGCCTGGGCTCATGAGTTGAACCACCGTCCCAAGTCTCCGTCACTTTGGTTGGCCATGTTTCGTGCCTACGGTGGCCCCTATGCAGTTGCTGCGTTATTCAAGATCGGTAACGACATCGCGCAGTATATCCAGCCGCAGCTACTTCGTCTGTTGCTTACCTGGGTCAAATCATACAACCCTGAGTACGGTGTGATTGCCGAACCGGTTATCAAGGGAGCGGCGATTGCATTGGCGATGTTTTCTTGTGCTGTATTCCAAACTACGATGGTGGTATGTAGTTATTTCTGGCTCAGACTTGTTTCTCGGCTATCCTCTGTTCTGGTCGTTCGTAAAGTCTTGCTAACCGTTCCGTATAGCATCAATATTTCCAATTGTCCTTCGTAACTGGTATGCGGATAAAGGGTGGCCTCGCCTCCACCATCTACCGAAAGTCTTTGAGGTTGTCCAACGAGGGGAGATCAACAAAAACCACGGGAGACATTGTGAATTACATGGCTGTCGATGCCCAGCGTCTTCAGGACTTGACTCAGTTTTTGCAGCAAGCCTGGTCGGCTCCCTTCCAAATTATCATCTGCATGATTTCGCTCTATAACCTTGTTGGGTGGTCGATGATGGCCGGTATTGTCGTAATGATTATTATGATGCCAGCTCAGGGATGGGTCGCCAGAATCATGAAGAACTTGCAAAAAGACCAGATGAAGAACAAGGATGCCAGGAGCAGACTCATCAATGAAATTATTACTAACATGAAGAGCATCAAGCTTTATGCGTGGGGTGCTGCTTTCATGAACAAGCTCAACTACGTCCGAAATGAGCAAGAGCTCAAGAATCTGCGACGAATTGGTGCCACCCAAGCATTTGCCAACTTCACTTGGAACACAGCGCCGTTTTTCGTGTCATGTTCGACTTTTACCGTCTTTGTTCTCACACAAGATAGACCGCTTACAACGGACATTATCTTCCCTGCTCTGGCCCTTTTCAACCTGTTGACCTTCCCATTGGCTGTTTTGCCCATGGTCATTACGTCCATCGTTGAAGCGTCAGTTGCTATCGGCCGTTTGACCGATTTCCTAACCGCCGAAGAACTTCAGTCTGACTCTGTCACTGTAAAGCCTGCTCCCAAAGAGATGGGTGAAGAAACAGTGCTCATTCGCGACGGCACCTTCTCCTGGAACCGTCATGAGCCTAAGGAGGTCCTCAAAGACATCGATTTTACCGCCTATAAGGGTGAACTAACGTGTGTCGTTGGCCGCGTGGGCGCCGGCAAATCTTCCTTCTTGCAGAGTATTCTTGGTGATCTTTGGAAAGTTAAGGGTTCTGCTGAGGTTAGAGGCACAGTGGCCTATGCATCTCAACAGACCTGGATTTTGAACGCAACCGTCAAAGAAAATATCGTCTTTGGATACAAATACGACTCTGAATTTTACGAGAAAACGATTAAAGCTTGCGCCCTACTGGATGACTTTGCTCAGCTGCCTGATGGCGACGAGACCGTTGTCGGCGAGAGAGGCATCTCTCTCAGTGGTGGACAGAAGGCCCGAGTGTCTCTTGCGCGCTCTGTTTACGCTAGAGCCGATATTTACCTTTTGGACGATGTTTTGTCTGCCGTGGACTCACATGTTGGTCGTCACATCATCGACAGTGTCCTTGGCCCTCGCGGTTTGCTTTCGACAAAGACTAGAATCCTCGCAACCAACTCTATCCCCGTTCTCAAGCAAGCCAGCTTTATTACTATGCTGAAGGATGGTGAAGTTGCTGAGAAGGGAACTTACTCGCAGCTGATTGCCAAGAAAGGACTGGTTGCCGATCTGCTGAGGACTGCCGGTCACGACTCGAATAACGGCTCAGGTAGCTCCAGCCCTCCTTCTAGCGAGACCTCAACTATTATTGAGGGTGAACCTAGCTTTACCCAGAACAAGGAAGAAGTTGAAGAGGCTCTAGAAGACGTTCCAGAGATGGAACCAATCAAGGGTGCTACACCTATGGGTAAGAAAACCCGATCAAGCAGCATGGCCACTCTACGCCGTGCTAGTACGGCGAGTTTCAGGGGCCCTCGGGGCAAGCTTACCGACGAAGAGCTTGCCAGCGCCTCGCGGACCAAGCAAACGAAGGAATTCGTTGAACAAGGCAAAGTCAAGTGGTCTGTGTACGGTGAATATGCAAAGGAAAACAATCTAGTCGCTGTTGGAATCTACATTTTTGCCCTCTTGGCTTCCCAATCTGCCAGCATTGGCGGCTCTGTCTGGCTAAAAGAATGGTCCGAACACAACGAAAAGACGGGTTCCAACGATAGCATCGGCAAGTACATCGGCATCTACTTTGCCTTCGGTATCGGCTCATCTTTACTCACGGTCGGCCAAACTCTGATTCTGTGGATCTTCTGTTCTATCGAGGCCTCTCGTAAGCTCCATGAGCGCATGGCCAATGCGATTTTCAGGTCTCCAATGTCCTTCTTTGACACTACGCCTGCCGGGCGCATTCTGAACCGATTCTCCAGCGATATTTACCGAGTTGACGAAGTTCTGGCGCGTGTGTTCAACATGTTGTTTGTCAACGTTGCAAGATCTTGCTTTACTCTGGGTGTCATATCTTTCTCCACGCCCGCTTTCATTGCTTTGATTGTCCCCTTGGCGCTTACTTACTACTGGATTCAGCGATACTATCTCCGCACATCTCGAGAACTCAAGAGACTTGATAGTGTCACCCGCAGTCCTGTGTACGCCCACTTCCAGGAGTCCTTGGGTGGCATTACCACCATTCGTGCTTTCCGTCAACAACAGCGATTTGAACTCGAGAATGAATGGCGTGTGGATGCTAATTTGCGCGCCTACTTCCCATCAATCAGTGCCAATCGTTGGTTAGCTGTCCGTCTTGAGTTTATCGGTGCCGTGGTGATTTTGGCTGCCGCTGGCCTTGCCATCATCTCTGTCTCGAATCACAGTGGCTTGACTGAAGGCACTGTTGGTCTAGCAATGTCGTATGCCCTTCAAATTACGACATCGCTCAACTGGATCGTTCGTCAAACTGTCGAGGTCGAGACCAATATTGTCTCTGTTGAGCGTGTTCTGGAATATGCCAGGCTGCCCAGCGAAGCGCCCGAGATTATTCCTGAGAACCGACCTCCGATTGCTTGGCCAGCAAAGGGCGAGGTAGACTTTAAGAATTACAGCACTAGATACCGTGAGGGTCTGGACTTGGTTCTTAAGAATGTCAACCTAGACATTAAATCCCACGAGAAGATTGGCGTTGTCGGTCGAACAGGAGCCGGCAAATCCTCCTTAACACTTGCACTCTTCCGTTTGATTGAGCCAGCTACTGGTCACATTGGCATAGATAATCTCAACACGTCGACGATTGGCTTGCTAGATCTTCGACGCAGACTTGCCATTATTCCTCAGGATGCCGCGCTTTTCGAGGGTACAGTTCGTGACAACCTTGACCCTGGCCACGTTCACGACGACACTGAGCTCTGGAGTGTTCTTGGTAAGTTCATACCCGGCAATTACAGTGAAATTGCATCACCATTAACTGTATTTAGACCATGCCCGCCTCAAGGAACAAGTAGCAAACATGGATGGCGGTCTCGAAGCCAAAATTAACGAAGGGGGTAAGTCATCACGGCTGGCACTCTCCTCATTTCCCATTCCGTGTGTATCATGTGTAAATTCTGACATGATTAGGCTCGAATCTGTCTCAAGGCCAGCGTCAACTCGTCTCCCTCGCCCGCGCCATGCTTACGCCCTCCAATATCCTCGTGCTCGACGAAGCCACCGCTGCCGTAGATGTGGAAACTGACGCCATGCTCCAAGCTACCCTGCGCTCACCCCTGTTCTCCAACCGCACCATTATCACGGTTGCACACCGTCTCAACACTATCCTTGACAGCGATCGCGTCGTCGTCCTGGATAAGGGTGAGGTGGTGGAGTTTGATACGCCGGGTGAGCTATTCAAGAAGCAGGGTGTATTTTATGGCTTGATGAAGCAGGCTGGCTTGGAAATTGAATGAATATAAAAGAGGAAAGATGTACAGAATAAAAAGTGTTTTTATTTTAGCCTTGGCGATTATATCATGTATGTACGTTGGAATAAGAATTGGGAGGGTGTACATTTGCAGGTCAGCATTATAAATTGTCAATGGGTATACAAAGAAGGATGTCCGTTGGGCATGAATGCTACACGATGATGGAAAATGACTTTAGCGACGAGATTTCATTGTGTGACCTAGGACTGTGTGCATGATGCTTGCGCCGCGGACTGAGAAGCAGCTGGGTAAAATGGCGGGCAATGCCAGGGAACGAAGCTGAGATGGAAAGGGGGTTCAGAGCGAGGAAATGGCCGTGACGGCGGGCAAGGTACAGTGCTGCAACGAATTGCATTTACAATAGACACTTGACCAGATGCACGCCGTGACAAAGGTCGACGCGATTGTACCGTTTCTAGTTATTTGCAGTCACTGATGACACAGACACGGTGTATATTGACCCCATAGGCTCTCTACCACGTCGCCATTGAATGCGGAGCGTACAGAGTACAGGAGGGCATCTGCGGGCAAATATCTCAATTAGAACAACCTTCATTGACCGCATCACTGATGTAATGCCGTCTCTGTAAGACCCTTTTTTCTGTCCCTACATGCGTGAGGCAAGCTGACGCACAATACACATCACTCGGCATCGAGATGGTAGCATTCCCGCACAAGGGGAGAAAGGGGAAAAGGGGGGGGGGAACGCATTGGGGATACCAAGATTACGAGGACGCCTTTTGTTCTGGATTGGCACGCGGGTTGCCGTGATTTACTCTTGTGCCACCCACGACTTTGGTGACGACGCACCCGTCTTCGGAAATTGTCGCCCCGACTTGCCCATCAGATAAGCTTCTTTGTGTGACGGTGCCACGGCGCGCGGTGGGCAGGCGAGACACGCCCGATGTCGTTTTGGTTCTTGTTCATCTCCGCCCACAGCCTGCGCTCCCACCTGGTGACCATGGCGCAGTGGGCATGCAGCTTACCGGGCCAGAGGGACAAATGAGAAATAGAGAGAGAGAGAGAGAGAAAAGCATTGACGAGACTATGGCTCGGACGGTACGGGGAAGAAGGGGGCCAAGGGGGGATTCACAGGCCGCCCCGTGGCCCCTGTTGGAATCCTCACCGGGCAGCGCCTGGGCCATCGTCTTGGAATCATTGTCCCCACTGACACGGGTATACCAGCAGGAAAAAGGAACATTGAAAGCAGGAGGTTTCCTCGTGGCGGAGCCTGTACATATGTACTGGATCTCCTGCATGAAGGCGGAACAAAGATGCAGGTAAGGACTTTCCTTGACAGGGACAAGAGACAGGGAGGAGAGAGAAAAAAAAAGAAAAGAAAAGAAAAGAAGATGGAGTAAAAACAGAGCCAGCATAAAAGTCGGTACTACGGGCAGCAAGTGTGTGGCTTTTGCTTTCCGCGGGGCGGGCTTGTCGGCTTTGCAGAAGCAGTTTCTTCAGTCCATGTCGCCAAGGGTTCGTCTCCCCACGTTGTGCTTCGCAAGTGCCAAGAATATACATACGCATTCTCTCTCCATGTTGGTCGCCGGCCGGCATGTCCTCTTCTTGCCTAGCACTTCCTCTGGGCAGAGGCCCAACAAATCTATTGCCCACTCTGCCACTGTTTATTGACCGACCAGGACTGACCAAGGCGTCCGGCTGCCTGGATCGGACTGCTATCCAAGCCTCATGGGGATCAGAAATTCGTTCCATGACAGTGCCCGCCTTGTCTGAATAGCCGGATCACCGAACCGGCTCCGTCCCGTCCCCCGTCTCAGGCCCGAAACGTGGCTTGTGGTATTTTGGTCTTGTTTTCGACCTCGTGCTGCGGAGTACGGAGTACTCTGTACATGGCGTCGTACTATCCTTGCTTGATGCTGGGGTGAGAGTGAGCACCATGGCCTCGGCCAACGTGACCCTCACGACTTCACTGTTGCCTTTTGCAGGCCAACATGTTCCACTGGCAGTAACCAACGTCAGCGGCCTTAAATGCAATAGGCTCCGAGTCCGATTTTGTGCGTTTGGGCCATCTGGGGCCCCCTTCATCTGACAATAGAACCGGAGCATCGGGTTTTAATCCACTGACATGCGTTTCTCCAACTTCATATGGGTCCAGATGTTTGAAAGTGGTGTCCTCACGGCAACGCCCTGAGGGAGGGGAATGGGGGCCTTTTCCTTCCGCCCCCCTCCCCTTACCTCCGTTATTTTGTGCCCCGAGTGCATGAGACATGGCTGTTCTGCAATTTTGCCAGAAGGATGCTGTAGAGCGGTGTTTGGCCAGACAAGTGCCTCGGAAATGCTACTCTGCACAATGAAAGTGAATATACAAAACCCAGCCATGACGACTAAAATTGTAGATAAAAGAGGTGAACTAAAGAATCGCTGTCCGGTTGGGCGGGCGGATATCATGAGCCTGGTCATGTTGTGCATCGGACTGAGTTATCCGACTTGGTTTGGCCGGTTGTACGGAGTACACATGCAGTCGCTGCGGAACGTCCATGGTACATAGTATGTGCGGACCACGATAATCACAGAGTGGCTTCAAATCCACAAGCGTGAGTATGCATAACAGCGCACTGAATCGTCATTTTGTCCGTGGTAAAATCAGCCCAAATAACGATGCCACGACTTCAACTTGGACCAGCCGACGCTCCACAACAGATGCTTGTTGGTAATTCCAAGAACGGTGAGGCTTCGAAATTATAATACGGAATACTAGCAGTACCGAGTTACCACTCTGCTTTAACTGGTGAGTCCCATTTGAAAGGGGGGTGTTCAGCGAAGGAGCCTAGCCGCAGTGGCCAACCTGTGCCCTTTTGATCCAGTTTGGTACGTGCTGGAAACGAGATGATAGCTTTGTCTCTCATCATTTGAAACGAGTGCTGGCCGATGAGTGAATAATTAGACGTAGACCGAACCATACTCAGTAGAGTTGGTCAAGCCGCATACATACAATTCCCCGCGGGTAGTATGGTGATGTGAATGCCTGAAGAACAAACCCAAGTACATTGAGCCATCCTCACTGCAGAAGGATGGGGTTTGGCAGCATATACGACTGGTATTACGCAACACAGCCATAACCGAAGTCTGGAATAACTGTCGCAGGCGGTTCTATGTGTGGCAGCCCAGACCAGCCCAAGCAGCGAGTATTGGAATTGGAGCTGATTGCGGAACGGGCATAGGCGTTGCGCATGGAGTACTAGTCCTTTGCAGTCCGTGGTTGTTGTTGTTGTTGTTGTTGTCATCAAGGCGTTGCAGTTTCTCAGCACGAGCCTCATATTAAAGCTCTCGGGAAATTGCAGTGGTCTGCCCGTCATAAAAAGTCCACAGATGACGAAAAATTGTAAGAATCTGCGGGTATGGCTGCAGTATTCATCTCCAGCCTTACACGGAGTATATTCCGTATTCATGGCAAAGGGGCACCTGCAGTTGTCATTTGCCCAATGTCATTTCCGCAAATCCCTGCCCAAGCTTGTCCATGGCAGTTTTAAAATGCCCGGCTTCTGGATGCTCACGCACCATTCTTCATGTAGGCAATCCTTGTTGAAGTTGAAGTAGTATTCGCGAATACTCCGTACTACAAGAGTGAAATGCCCTACATAGCCTTGTCTCCATAGACAAATTAGTTATATGTATGTCAATATCGAGCCGTCAAGGGAAATTGAGCGATGCAACAGCTGAAACATGTTTCGGGGGGCTTCTTTGTGACAGCAATCAAACCGCCATTGCCTATGACGAACACCTGGTCCCACGGCCAAAAGGCATTGCCGTCCTGGCTGATTTTTTTTCTTCTTCTTCTTTCTTTTTCATGTACGGAGTAGTATGTATTTACTCCCTCTATCGCAGTCGGTTGAACGCCTCCTCTCAGCCCAAGATCTCCTTGCATATCGTGGGGCTTCAGAAGCCGCTCCGACTGGTCATAAGCCCACGGCCAGGATGAGCCTGGCTATCAATCACGCTTTTGGTTTGACATTGCGAGCTGATTACTCCGTACAGGCTAATAGCTCTGTCATTACCCAAAGCGCATGACTAGATCTGAGATGTGGGAGTCCCATGCAGTCGTTTACCAACCAGTGCCATCATTCAAATCCCTGATCGTCATGGGTCCGTTGGCTGAAAGGCGTTCCGCAGCCACAATGGAGGTGCGGAAATGGCCTGCATTGGAGCCATGGGACTATGTACGTTAGTGAATCCAAGCACTCTTCTGGCTTGCATCGGACTGAGTAGTGCAGTTTCCCCGAGAAATCTATAATTTCTTATTTTGTTGTAGCTTCTGAGTGAGACACCCCAATTTGCAAATTCATGTCCGCTTCCAACAGCCCGAGGCCACTTCCGCAATTTCTGAAGAGACGAAATGCGTATTCATTAGCCACTGGAAACATTCAAGGGCTTTACCTGAATGTGCAATGCGCATTTCGGGCTGGTAGATTGTGGAACGGAAGTGGATGATGACATGGCAACTCGGACTTTCCAACGCCTTGACTCCAATTGTGTGAGAGTCTTGGTAGCAAGGTTTCTGATCCCACATGATGCTTTCCAGCCATGTCAAGTGTTTGACCAGCATCTACGGGTGCACCTTGCTCGCGAGTCTCGTTCGTTGCACCGAGGACAGGAGTACTCCATAAGGTAGAATGAGCATTGAATCGCTGCTGTGCATCTTGGAAATGTACCCTCGTGAAATGGCCTTCCACAGTTGAAATTGTTCGCAATCGGGCTGCCAAGTAGATAAAATTAGATGCTGTGGGCGTCATCTGACGCCGCATTGCAGGTTGGTTGATGGGATCTAATATAGAACTGGCTGGTGTTGGCACCGTCTCGCCATCCCCGACACACCTCCATCACCACACCGTGCTGAACCGATCGACATGGCCATGGCACGGTGTTCTGAAGTATAGAGTACCTGGTGGTCCCGAAGATCCAGCTCTTACGTCCCAATGTGGCTGCAACGGACGAACAATCTGCTCCGTTCAAGCCGGAATAATGAA